GATAAAAACAAAGTCCTTAAAATGTCCTCTAAAGGCCTGACTGTACCCCTTGTGACCATCCCACTGGCCTCCTCTGCTTTTCTGTACCCTCTCCACTCACTCCCCACTTGGGGGCCTGCCTGGGTGCTCTCTGTGCCCATCAGCCACACACCCTCTCCCAACAACAGAAAGACGCTCTCTAGCCACTCTCTGCTTTATTTTTCCCTGAGGTCTTGCCATTATTTTACACATTACATACTGAAGTTTCTTATATTCTCCTCTTTGTGGGTGTGTAAGGATGGGGGATGTTTTCTGGCTCACTGTACTACTCCAGTGCCCAGAACAGAGCCTGGCACACAGTAGGTGCTGAGGAAGCATATGTTCAACAGACACATGTTTTAACCACAAAAGGATTGTACTGCTGCTATATATTGTCAAATTAGGAGTAGTACGTTCTGAGTAGACGTTTACATTTTGTGCAAAAAAATGTTCGCATATGTCTGTTAGGTTCAGTTCTGTGCTGGTTTCGTTTTATAGTGAAGTGAGGAGAGGAAGTGGGATGGTGGGGATTATTATCAGTTTCCTATGACAAATGACATTTTTTTGTACAGTCTTCTGGAAGCTTATGAAGTTTAAAATATTAGGTGTGATATATTTGGGCTTTTATGTTACTGCATGTCTGGGTGTTTTTATTGTTGCTATTTCTTTCTGTTTAATTAGTCACTGGAGGATAGTCATCAGCCACCCACTATGTGTCAGGCACTTTGTAAGACCCAGACAGAAATAAGACAGTTCGGGAGGCCAGGGCCACTGGGATTCTAGAAGGGTAAACTGTTGCCATGCTTCACACACAAAGGCTATGTTGTCTCTGACCAATACACACACCTAATTAGAGAAGTATGGGCAGCAAGACTCCCAGGGAAGGAGGAGGTAGACATGGAGCAAATGACTGTTTTTCCTGATAGAATTGTCTATAAGTAAACCTTCCTTCCTGTTTATTAGTAAACTGTCTATGACAAGTGGCTCATGAGGTAGAGGGTAGATATATGATTAAAATCTGTTGTTCCTAGCAACATCAAATCATTAAATTATTAGTTTATTAAAGCAGAACCTATTCCAGGAGGCTCCTTTAAAATGTATATACTCTTAGTACATTAGCATGAATTATTTATCAGGATCTTTATGAAGTACTTTGGGCCCAATGGAGTTGAAAGAGAAGATAAGTGGTAAGAGAGAGAGAGAAAAGGAGAGAGAGACAGAGGCAGAGAACCAAGGCCAGGAGCCAATGGATAAAGCCTTCCTACTTACTGCCCACCCTGAAACTATAGCGGGAAGAGCTGAGACCAAAGAAAAGGTTGCTTATCCAAGGGCAGAAGCCTAGACATTTTCAGAATGTAACTTCTAGAAAGTGCAAAGCCTCACTCCTTGATTGCTGCCAGCACTGACGTATGAGTCCTCACCATCCACTCCTACTGGCCCAAGATGGGGAATGTTGATGGTGGGACAGGAATGAGAATCAAACCAACCCTACCAACTGGCCCTGTGTTGAAACCCAAGTCAGCAAGTGTCTCCACACTGATTCCTGCTCAGCAGGAACTACACACCGGGCTCCTGCCCATGGTGGCAGCTGCGGTCACTGCCAGCTTAGTGTGTGTCTGACACAGGGATACTGAACAAGATGTAGGTGACATCCCCTAAGTACCCCAGCACATACTTGGTGGTCTGCTCAGCCATGGAGAGAAGTAAGCAGAAAATGAAATGGAGTTGGTGCTCTATGAATACAAAAAGCGAAAGTCTTCATCTCATGTTCACCATTTCTAAATATCCTGAAAGGAGAATCATTGAAAAGCAGTTTTAGTTATGTTCAAGCTCTGTGAATATTCATCTTAAAATATAAAGAAGAGTTCCTGTTCCTATTGCTCTCCAAAAATATATGAACGACTTCTGACTTTTGCAAGTAAAAGTGAAACAAGATTAAAGAAAGCAGGGTAAACCAAAGAGTCACTTCCTGATAGCAAGAATGTTTTCTTGCTGATATATTTGAAGTCAATTTTTATCTACTTCCTTGGATCCTAACATACCTTAGGCAATTGGAATTACACTCATTTTCCTGATAAGTACATGATTCAGAGTCCCAAGGTGTGAAGCCAGTTTGGTACTGAAAAATAATAACACTAAAGCAATCTACAGATTCAATGCAGTCCCTATCAAAATATCAATGGCATTCTTCAATGAACTAGAACATAGTTCTAAAATTTATATGGAACCACAAAAGACCCTGAATAGCCAAAGCAATCCTGAGAAGGTAGAATAAAGCTGGGGGGATTATGCTCCCCAACTTCAAGCCCTACTACAAAGCCACAGTAATCAAGACAATTTGGTACTGGCACAAGAACAGACCCATAGATCAATGGAACAGAATAAAGAGGCCATATATAACCCCAAGCATATATGGCCAATTAATATATGATAAAGGGGCCATGGATATACAAGGGGGAAGTGACATTGTTTTCAATAACTGTTGAAAAAACTGGACAGCTACATGTAAGAGAATGAAACTGGATCACTGTCTAACTCCATACACAAAAGTACACTTAAATGGATCAAAGACCTGAATGTGAGTCATGAAACCATAGAACTCTTACAAGAAAACATAGGCAAAAATCTCTTGAATATAAACATGAGCAAATTTTCCCAGAGCACATCTCCTTGAGCAAGGGAAACAAAAGCAAAATTGAACAAATGGGACTACATCAAGCTAAAAAGCTTCTGTACAGCAAAGGACACCATCAGCAGAACAAAAAGGCATCCTACAGTATGGGAGAATATATTCATAAATGACATATTCAACAGGTGGTTAACATCCAAAATCTATAAAGAACTCACATGCCTCAACAACTAAAAAACAAATAACCCTATTAAAAAATGGGTAGAGGATATGACAGACAATTCTCCAAAGAAGAAATTCAAATGGCCAACAGGCACATGAAAAGATGGTCCACATCACTAATCATCAGAGAAATGCAAATTAAAACCACAATGAGATATCATCACACACCAGTTAGGATGGCCAACATTGAAAAGACTAGAAACAACAAATGCTGGTGAGGATACAGAGAAAGGGGAGCCCTCCTACACTGCTGATTGGAATGTAAATTAGTTCAACCATTATGGAAAGCAATATGGAGGTTCTTCAAAAAACTGGAAACAGAAATACCATTTCGCTCCTAGGAATTTACCCAAAGAAAACAAATTCCCCAATTCAAAAAGACATATGCACCCCTATGTTTATTGCAGCACTATTTACAATAGCCAAGATATGGAAGCAACCTAAGTGTCCATCAGTAGATGAAAGGATAAAAAGATGTGGTACATATACACAGTAAAATACTATTCAGCCATAAGAAAGAAACAAATCCTACCATTTGCAACAACATGGATGGAGCTAGAGGGTATTATGCTCAGTGAAATAATTCAGGCAGAGAAAGACAAGTACCAAATGACTTCCCTCATTTGTGGAGTATAATGCTGAAGCAAAACTGAAGGAACAAAACAGCAACAGATAACCAGACTCCAAGAAGTACTAGCGGTTACCAAAGGGGAGGGGTAAGGGAGGGTGGGTGGAGAGGGAGGGAGAAGAGGACTGAGAGGTAATATGATTAGTACACATGGTGTGTGGGGGGTCACAAGGAAGACAGTGTAGCACAAAGAAGACAAGTAGTGACTCTGTGGCATCTTACTACACTGATGAACAGTTACTTCAATGGGATATGTGGGGGGACTTGTTAATATGGGTGAGTGCAGTAACCACATTGTTTTTCATGTGAAACCCTCATAAGAGTGTATATCAATGATAACTTAATAAAAATAAAAAAAATAAAATAACAGAAACAACAATGGGGATATCTGATCATAAGCCATTCCTATGTTACCTAAAATGTCTGAAGTTTAGGATCAGTTTTCAATGGGAGATTACAATTCCTCAATCAAATTATGATTTCCATAATTTATTTCATTATCCTTCCTGCTAGACTTCTAATCTATAGAACTGTAAGCTAGTAAATGGGTGTTATTTTGAGCCACCAAGTTTATATTAACTTATTACACAACAGAAAAGTAAGACAGAACAACTAAAAGACTCTTCCCTGCAGCTGAGGTTCACTTTCTTTTATCAGAAAGAGAACATATTCAGATGACTTTTTAAAATTTGCGAACTCCAAGAAATGAACATGTAGTTTGTTTTGGAGATACAATTTTTAAACTTTATTTTAAATTGTGAGAACATAGGGGAATTACATTTAAACTGTGAGTATTTTAATATGAAACTGTGAAAACATAGATTATTTAATTCAAAAATCTCTTAAGAAGCCACCAGCTTAATGTGATTTAGAGGGTATAAAATATTTCAAGGCTTGTGCTAAATGGAGTCATTTCTTGGCCAAGATGCCAGAGCCACATGCGTATTTTATGAGGCATTTTAAAACCATGTCCCAAAGGCAGGAGATGGATGCTCCGAGGCAAGAGGGTTCTGAGATTTTGCTAATAGATGAAGATAGAGATGAGGTTTTTATCCCTTTCCCACTTAAGATGAAAAAGAGGACTTCTTGCCCAAGTGGCTCCACAGAGGGAAAACCTGGAGAAAGAAGCTCAGAGAAGCAGGGAAGGAAAGAAGGAGGCCTGGGAGAGGCCGGGGACCAGGTAGGATGCTCCTGAGTGGGAAGAAACTTGGTGTAACACATTTTCAAGTCAGAGCTGCTTCGTGCTCATTGTCCCCACTGCTGGATGAGCTGAACCCTGGGCTGGGTTATTTTATTTTTCTTCCGATGACCCAGTGGCTCATTAAATATGTATCAGGTTGGGAGTGCAGATGGGAGTGAGGGGGATGGGAAAGAGATCTCAGCATGAACGCGAGGGAGGTGGGAGAGCCTTACTGGAGTTTGAGTGGCCTTTCTTTACATGCAGTGTTGGCAGCCACATGTATAGTTGCTCACTTTTCTCTGTGGAAAAAGACTCTCCCAAATGAGCTGATCCCTGAAATCTCAGAATTTATCACTACTTACAGTCTAGGAGTTGTGCAGTCAGAAGGGCCAGCGCATTAGCCAGTGAGCCTGTTCCTAGAGATGATTTTGTCAGTTTTAAGCCTGCTTGGCTCAGTGCTGCCAAAGGAAGAAGGCGCCACTTCTCATGAGGGAGTCCTCGGGGCTTCAGGGACAACTCCAGAAACCAGAGGCCGAGGACCAGCTGGAAACACCTCTCAGCCCAAATCACAGCATTTCCTCAGCCCCTCCTGTAAGGAGAACGGGGACGCCTGATCAGAGCACAAGACAACACACCTTCCCTCTGAGGGAAGACACTGCACTACCTTCCCACTGGCAGTTGCTCTAAAGTCCTGCCAAGACCCAGCAGAGAACTTTCCAGAGCCTCCTGTCAGGAGGGCTCCATGTCCTACCATAAAGGGAAAGCTGAGGAGAAAAACCCTACCACGGTGCAGCACGGCTCCTTACAGAAGCCATCTCCAAGGCCAAAGCACCCCACTAGTCTAACTGCTCAAGGAGGGAAAGCCACAGAGGCTCAGCAAAAGGGGTGCAGAATTAGAAAATCACAATAATCATTAGTACCTGCAACCCTAAAGAAGCTGCAGGGGTACATAATCTCCTTTATACGACACATTTTATGGATGGTGAAGAATTCTAACGAAGCCCAACTTTCAAAGATGAAACTTAATTGCCTAATAAACACATTGAATGAACACAAAAAAATTAAAGAAAATAAATTATTTTCCTGTGAAAACAGAGTCAGATGACTACTAAATGTTATAATTATGTAATGTAACCATTTAGGACTCCTTTCCATGTAACTGCATAACCATTCTCCAAAAAACCCTGTTTGAAAGGTCAAGTGTTCTGCAGACAGATCATTTGAAAAGGGATAGAAGTCATTTACTTCTAAATGACAATAACCCTTAGGCAAAGGAACTCACAATTAGTAATGGAGTCATTGTAACAGGTTGCCTTGGGGAATAAAATAAAACATTTGTATGATTTAATGTCCCTATTTTTAGAGAATAGTTCCCTATTTTCTACCAAGATATATTATTAGATTATTACACATTCTGTATTATATTAATAGATTACTGATAGAGACATGATCTTTAAAAATTAATAAAATTGCAGTAAGTGAGCTTCAATCTGAAGCCTGCATTAACATCTCCTCAATTTTCACTCTAAGGTTGGCACTGTCTGTTGTCAAAGACAGATGAAGGGCCTGATTTTCAGAGGATGGCAGTGGTATTTTCCAGGTAGGCCCACAGGCTAGGATCTGAAAGTGGGGAGGAAGAAGAATAGACCCTCTGCTCTTCTGATGAGCCCCCAGCCCTGCCAGCCAGGGCCCCCAGCCCACCTGGACCTGTGTCTGCCCATAGGTAAGGTACAAGTCTGACCCAATAATTAACCACAGGGCATGAAGCAGAACAGAGAGGCCTGGACAGCTCAGTGGGACCTAGGGTGTGCTCCCTGGGCTTGTCAGGATGGCCTGGATAATCCCACAGCCTGAAGCTGCTATTCCAGACAAGGCCTTGCCCTCTGATGAGGGGCTGGCAGTGGTAGCCAGGTGGGTGACAGGGAACAGGACCATGTGGTGGGTGTGGTTTCCTGGAAGTTGTAGAAGCTTCCTCCCAGAAGTTTTGAGAAATACCACTCAGGGAGGTCCATCCTGAACCCTGGAACAGAGAGGAGTCAGCTGACAGAAGCCACACAGCAGAAAGGAGGCCCCTGGGAAAAGTTGCCTCTAGCAAACAGAGGCTAATTCTTTCCTCCATCTGTGGCTCTAACTCTCCCTTCCCAGAAGAAGATGCTGGCACACTCTGTGAGGTGGGGCTGCGTCCCTGGAGGCCTCCAAGGAAGCTACTTGGGGAATTTCAGCATCATAATGAGGGAGACTGTGGTCTGGGGGCTGCATGCAGTGGTGTCATGGAAATCTCCTCTGTGGGTGCCCAGAGATGAGAGGGGGAATCTCTGGGTGTGACACTGGTATCAATCGCAGCCCGTTGGCAATTTGAGATTGAGAGTGAGGTTCTGAGAGTCTTTACATAACAGAAGTAGGTGAACCCTGAAAGTCACCTGTGTCTGCCTGCGTCTCTCTTCCTATTCCCATTTTTCTCTGGAGAGCAGGTCACAAGCACCCCAGTGGGGTGCATGTCCTCGCCAACTCGCCCATGGTGGAGAAGCCAGGGGCTCTCAGGAAAGGGGATACAAGAAACAGAACAGACACCAAAGCCCGGTGGCAGAGAGAACAGTCTGAGAGCAGCCAGAGACAGAGGCACAACGGAGGAAGGCCTTCAGGAAGAGGAGAACGCCTCACAAGGCGATGGCCTGGATTTAAACAGAGACGGGAGGGAAAGGTTTCGGGTAAAGACCACAGCAGGACCATCCGTGAGTGGTGGGCTGTGCAATGGAAGGACAAGACAGAAGGACAGAAAAGGCAGCCAACTCAGTGGTGTCTTCTATGGTAGAAGTTCCACTCAGAAGCACTCTTACTGAAAGAGGTGTCAACACATATGGAGCACCTACTATATACCAGGTAGTCTGCATGTGTTGGAGATACAATGGCAGAAAGGCACACACAATCCCTACCTTCATGGAACCAACCACTTAGGGGGATGGGCAGGCAATGAAATATTTAATTACAGATGATCCAGAACCTACAAGGACATGGTATGTCCTCATGAAACATGCACCCACTTCCTGTCCCTACCACCTCGGTACTTTGCTTCAGAGCACACAGAGTTTATAGATGATGGGCTCATACAGCAGGGACCTGAGAGGAGCAGAGAGAACCTGCTTTAAGCTTGGCTCAGTCGACAATGGCTACATCTTTTCGGCATGTTAACATTTTTAACATCCAGTTCTTATTCTTAAAAATGGGTCTAACAGTATCTACTCTGCAGAATTATTGTGAAAATAAAGGAAAATCAATGGGAATTGCCCTGCATGGTTCCTGAAGTATGCTACTCAATAAATTATAGCTGGACTCAATATGGACTCAATAAATTATAGCTACTGTTGCTCTCTTAGAACAATTTCCCTGTTGCCTTAGTGTCAGAGAGCTGTTGCCTTTACTGACTAAGAGAGAGCAGAGAGACAATGAAAATTAGATGATATCTAGGACTATCTGTTTACATGAGTTAAGGCAACGCTGAGGTCTGGTTCAGGTAAGAGAACCTGATCTTTAATCAGAGTGTTACTTTGGAAAGAACTTCTTGAGTATTGGGACAGATTGCTAATTATCTGTTGGCTAATAATGGCAAGAAGAAAATGGGTTTTTATTTTCCTGCCTGATTTCAGAACTGAGCCTAGTAAGTCTGCTTCAGAGGCTTTCCCAGGATCACAACACAAAGTGAAGACCTCAGGGCCCTTAGCTTCGGTGCCTGGATGTGCTAACTGCACCAGGAGCAGCTCACTGACCTGTTGTATTAAAAGTATCCCTGGCCTCCTTGTGGGAGGAAAGTGTGCCTAAGGAAGCATGGTTTTAGATGCTTCCTTATGAACTCATGAAGGGAACAAAGCACGATAGATGCACAAATCAGAAAATTGATGAGAAAAAGGCCAGTAGACAAGTCTTACATTAAGGAACTTGTGAAAAGGTGAGTTAGAACACAGAGATTTTATTTTTCCCTACTGATGTGGCTATTCTGCTGCTATGCAATGCTTCCTTCTTAACACTCTCATAGTTTTCTATGCTAATTTTTAAAAAACATGATCTATACTAATTTTTTCAAAACATGATCTATTAAAATCCCTTTGCAAACCTCAGACTACAATGGTCAGTGCGGAGGACTTGTCTGAAAACTCAGGTGAGGCCTCCCTGATGACCCCCTGGAGGGCACTCTGTGAAGTCCTTAAAAAAGAGCTTCGTACATCTACATGCATGTACCTTTTTTCAAAATTCATAACATATGGAACACATTGTGCTTTATTTTTGCTAAACATTGTACTTGAATATTGGCATGTGTATTAAGTCTCCTTGGAGTATCTCAAAAATGAAGCAAATTGAGTTTTCCTATGATGCATAGTCACCAGGCCCTGCCTCTTTGAAGACCCAGAAAACTGAAAGACTGACTCAGTGGGTGAGGTCTGACCAGCCCCTGGTTCAGCCTGAGCAGGGCTGGCAGGGAGCTAGAGGCCCCTGCCCATGTCAGGTGGGTTCTGAGAACCGCCCTGGTTCTCTGAGCGTGGGACCCAGCATGACCCTGGAGGGCACACTGTGTGTCCCCAGGGCAACTGAGTGGCTCCTCCCTCTTCTCCTGGAGACATTTTCCAGTTCACCCACCCAACCAGTTGAGTTTATGCTGAGATTCCTGCTGAGCACATCACCCATGCTGCAGGAGAAGCAGCCTGAATGGACAGCCCACTTGTTGCCCTGCTCAGCTCCTGGTGCGTCCTGCCCCCAGGCTCCAGATCCGGATTCCTGGTTCTCCCTCTGCCTGGCCTTCCCAGGAGCAGTCTACTGCTGCACCCCTGGGGAACATCTCCCTGTGGATCCTGAGAAGCCGGTCACTTTGATGGCCACCTTGTCTTACCCAGGCGCCTGTTGGCCCAGCACCACCCTCCTCCAGCACCTCCTGGCCAACCAGCTCACACTGCTGGGGTCCAGCTTCTTCAGAGGCAGCCCATGCCAGTCCGGGATTGGGACTCAGTCCTTGAAAGCAGAGTCCAGGCACCTCCAGTGGGGAGGATGGGAAGCCATCAGGCTTTCAGTGGGCTGGGCATTTGCCCAGGCTGGCAGGGCTCGAGAGAGAAACACCACAGAGGCCCCCTTCGCCCTCACGCCACCCTCCATGGCCTTCTGCCTACAGTCTCACAGCCGTAATGGCCTCACCAAAGGCCTCAACAAGGAGGTGGCCTTTGCATTTTATCCCTTTTCTCCTCAGTTCTAGCAAATTCTGTGAGGCCACCTCAGGGCTGGCTCCTGATAATGGCCTGTGCAGCGTGGCCAGGCTTCAGGGCCCCCCACTCACCTCTGCTTCCCCTTAGTCTGTGGCCACCAGTGCCTCCCCTCTAGGTCCCTGCCCTCTACGTGGCAAAGCTGCCTTCCTTCAAAATCGAACCTCTCCTCCCCTGCTGGGAAATTTCAGTTGCTGATACCCTGAGATCTCCACCTCTCTGTTGGCCCCCAAACACTTTCCTCCTCAGCTTGCTGCCAGCCTGCATCACGGCCTGGCACCCTGCTCCATTACCTCCTCAGGCAGACCCTCTGCAAGAACAAAGAGCCACCAGAACCCTGGCTCACAGGAGAAGCTGGTTTCTGTTGTATAGGAAGATCCCCAGGCCCGCAGTCTAGGGCTGGACGTGCGACTCTGCTCTACCAAGTGCCTGGAGACCCAGCCTCCTTCTGGCTTGCTGCTCTGCCAGAACTCACGGCCCAAGATGATGGCCACAGCTCCAACCCTCACATCTGCATTCCAGGTGGAAGGATGAGGGAAGGGCCAAAGAAGAGATAAAGGCCCCAGGCCAGCTGTCTTTTAAGGAAGTTTTCAGAAACAGGCCCACATTTGCACTTATCCCCCAGGCTCAGAGCCAGTAGGGGCCACAGCAGTAAGGGGAGCTGAGAGTCCTAGACTTTATTTTGGGGCTTCTGTTACTGTGGAATAAGTGGGACAGTGAGCCACTGCAGATGTACCCACAAACTTTAACTATGGAACCACAGGGAGTTGGTCACCATCCTCCCAAACCCCCACCTTTGTGTGATCCATCTTCATCAGTACCATTTTGTTTTTCTAGAATTTTCTTTCCCTCTTAGAAGAAAAGCCAATTCATTCTTTGAGATGACTCTGTTCATATTTCCTTTCTCTAGTTAGCATTTACTACCTGCCAGACACTGTTCTAAGGATGGTGCACACAACTCACTTTTCACAGCTTCCTCAAGAGACAGGTTCCATCACCAGCTCCACTGACAGACAATGCCCTGGAGCCCCCCGAGCAGTGACAAGCACCGATATCACTCAGCCAGGCCCACCACTCCTCACTGCGTCCCTTAATCACAGCCTCTCGTGGTCCTGCAGCACGGGGCTCATGCTTCTGGAGCTGTAATAGATGTTCACCTGCGTGCCAGCCACTGCAAGCCCGCGGACAGCAGGGCCCAGCACAGGGCTCAAACACTCGTATTTCCTGAGGGGATTCTAAACAACCTGTCCCACACGGAGACTCAGTGTAGGACAAGCAAACGCCCACAGTGTAGAGGCAGGACCAGCTCAGCACAGGAGTGTGTGTGTGTGTGTGTGTGTGTGTGTGTGTGTGTGTGTGTGTGTGTGTGTGT